TGGCACGGGAGAGCACCGGGCTCCGCCGCGGGCTCACCGGGAGTCGCCTGGCATCTCGCTTAACCCCTTCGGGCTGGTGCTGCCGTGGGCAAAGATGGGCGGGGGGGTGACTCCGGTGTGCAAGTGCGGGCTGATGCTGGCGTTAGGACTGACCCAGCAGGGAAACGCGAGTCGTGAGGCGAGGATTAAAGCCGTGCGAGGCGCCGATCGCATTCAGGAAAACGCCTCGTTAAAGCCAGCGATTGCCTTCTCCTGCCCGGTGGGGAGAAGGGCAGCTCTGATCTTCGTTAGCAGGAGCCCCATTGCTCGCAGGTCTCTGCACCCCGAGATGGGGCAGTCCCGTCCCCCCCAGCAAAGGCACCCGTCAGCTGCCTGGGTGCCGCTGCGGTTCCAGCGACCCCAGGGCTCCCAGGGAACGTGGAAGAAACGAGGAGGTTTTGCATGAGAAACGCTTCTGCTCTACTGCTGCATTTGTAATGCACCAGCTGGGCTTTGATCTTTCTTAAAGAGGGAGCCCGTGCAGTGGCCACCAAGGGTCCCGCGCTTTAAGCGTGCACTTTCAGTGTGGCATTTCGCAGCCTCCGTCCCATCACTACTGAGCTGCGGTTTCGGCTCCAGGAATTCGCTTTCCTCTTTCCTAGTGAGGACAGGACCTCTGTGTGGTTGTCCAGTAATGTCTTTGGGCTTCACCACGCTCCTGCAGGCTGCAGCTCTGCTGGCAAACGGCATCCCCAGCCGCTCACTCGCAGCCCGGGTTCCCATGCCATGTCAGTCGTCTGCCGGCATGCCCAGGCTCTGAGCGTGCAGACAGTGCTAGGGACGAAAGAAGGGCTCTATTATTTGTTTTTGTCCAAAAATCAACTGCTTTTCAGCTCTTGTTTCAGTAGTCAAGAGTCCCCCTCCCTCCATGTCCAGCGAGGCCCCAGATGAATTAATTCCATTTTGCTGCTTGGTATCCCGAGCGGAGAAGTCGCCCTGCCCGATGCCAAGCTCGGGTTCTTATGGGACTAAATTCATGAGTCTGCTTTACACTGATATGGTCACAGCAGAATCAGGCATGTCTGACACGTAACGTCCTGCACAACTTCACCAACCCCTTATGCAGTTTCCAAGTGCATCAATATCCAACCTGCCTTCCTGCTGCACATGAAATATCTTTACATCAGTGCAGCACACCGAGTCTACATGGTACCCCATATGTACCGTACCCCAATGGATGAAATAGAGGAATTGTCATAGTGTTTTATCTCAGTGAACAGTAACGATGAATTTTTGGTCTCTCTCTGGTGCTGCTGATACGTTTGTCTTCTCAAGCCAGTTGTAGAACTGGGCAGTGCTGCGATCTGGTGGTGTTTGTATATGTTTATATTGTTCATGTCATGCAAACGCCTGGCCAAAAGAGCTGTTCCTGCCCTGACGAGTTTACACCCCAAGTAACACGGGACGCTGGCAGATTGGGCACAATGAAACAGTTCCAGGTGGGCAGTGAGGTGGAGGGATTAGGGCAGCGGAGGCAGCCGGGCTGTCTGGCCAGGGTTCCCAGCCCATTACATGTCGGTTGTGTGGTTTGGGCAAACCAGTTCCCCTGTGGAGCTGGGATGAGTCACTCCGGGTGTGAGGCTTGGTTCAGTGCGTGCAGCAAGTTTAGATTCCGGGGTCACTGCAGAAGTGCAAGATACTGCTTGTTTTTTTTAATTTTTGTTTTGTTTTTCTTTTTTTGTTTTGAATAAACAGCCAAAGTTATGCTGTAAATTATATAAAATCGAGCACAGAGCAATGCAGAAATTTTAATCATCAGAGAACACAGTTATGACATCTTTTATGTGGCTCAAATCTGCCAAACATATTTTTTAAATATATTTTGCAGTAAGCCAGGTCTTTACGTCCACGTCTGGAGGTGTAGCTCACAAAGAGCTCTGCAAAGAGAGTTTCCAAATTCCCTGTTACAGACTCCTCGAGTGCGCACTCCGCTTTTTCGCTGCCAGGTGAATTCAGTACCTACCCCCTGCACGTATAACACCCCAGCATCCGTGCGGAGCCCGTTTTCACACCATACGTGCTCGTCATACGTGCGTTTATGTATATTGGCAACGCGTGTTGGTACTTGTGAAGCCAGCCAGCACCTATGCCCAGGGAAAGCCCACCCAGCAGACATTCAAATAGGGTACCTGTATGGAGATGAGTGGAGCAGTCAGTAGAAAAACGTGTTATTTCGTCTGATTGTGTAAAACCACTTCTGAAAGCACCTCGCTTGGGCCTAAGAAAATGTATTTTTAATGGGTTGAGTTTGGTCTAGTTTTTGGCTTGCTGTGCAGACAGCTCTGTCTCTGCAGAAACATCTTTAATAGACTGCTATTAAAATGCTTCGTCAAACTGAAAAATAGTTTGATTTGATGGGGTGAACCCAAATGCCCCTTTCCAGATTTGTATGTCTCACACAGTCTCCAAGTCCCTCCGGAGCGCTGTGCTGGCCAGGGTTGCAGACTGCCGTCTCGCCTGCGTGTTAACATCCCTGCACCGAGTTTCGTAAGGTGCAGAAACAGCCCTGAGCCCATCCCGCTTTCCAGAGGGAAAACCCCTGCTCGGGGCAGGTGGAGAGTGTCCCAGCCAGGCTCTCCCTGGCAGAGGGGGTTTGCTCCAAGGAGTTTCCCACACCCAGTTATCCATCCTTATGGAGATTTCACCTCCATGGGGACCTAAGGCTTGGACTTTGCCTCCCTGTGCATGTCTAGTGCTGACTTTTGGTGCCTTTAGCCTCACCCGTGCCCACCAGGCACAGGATGGTTTGTGGGGCCCTTCTGCTTAGCCTGTCCCCTCGTGTCCCTCGAGCAGAGCTGGTCCCCGAGGCTGTCGGCCAGCAGGCAGGGTCCCTGCTCCATCACCTCCTGCCCAGTGTTCCCCCTGCCCAGATCCTGGCCCCTCTCCGTCTGGTTCAGGGGTGTCCATGCATTCAGAATATGGTGGCCCACCCCAAAAATTGCGGTTTGTGAAGCAAATCTGCAGGAAGCCCTCAGAAACCACATCAACACTGCTGTTAACCTCACCCTGAGGAGCGACCAGCCCTTTGCTGCCGCCCTGGGTGGGAGCTCAGACACATGCTCACGCTATCGCAGCGCCGAGATGCAAAGCCCTGCAGACGGGGCAGGCTCAGACATGAGAGCCGGGAGGTTCGCACATGGAAAAAGAAAAAGCCACGACTCCAGAGCTCAGATCACTGCTTTTCCAGCCCGGTGGAGATGTCAGCATGGGTTGAGATTGAAGGAGACGCGTGTCTGGTAGTGGATGGACAGTTTGGTGCAGAAATCTGTCCCAGGGTGGTGGGAAACTCTCGGATGGGAGAGAGTGGGATTCGAGTCTCTGCTTGGCTTCCCGTCCCCGATTCCTGAGCTCTGTGTTGTGGGTAAAAATGAGATGGGAACCACAGAAGACATTATTCAGGGAGGGAAACTGCAGATGGCAAAAGTGTGTAAAGCATATGTGCAACAGAGGTTTCTCTCCAGCTAGCGCAAGAAACGATTCCCTCTTCTTCCTTTCCAGCCATGTTTCCAGGTCCGTGTCTCCCACTACGACATCTCAGATACAAGCCAGGAAGAAGAGGAGGGGGGTGAGTCTCACTTACATTGACCAGGGTGGCTGTGCTGTGTCTCCCTGGGGGGGTCAGGCTGGTCCCAGCTGCATGCCAGGGCTCCTCGTGACACCCCTGTGTGCAGTGAGGTGCCGTTGGCACGTCCTGACTGTGGGGACACAGTCCAAAGTTGACCTTACACCATTTCCTTCTCTATCTCCTGCAGAACTCTCCCCACAGCCAATTGGAGATTTTTTTTTGCAAAGGTTTGGCCTCAAATCTGGCAAAAAGGGGTAGGGATAGGGGTGGAGGAGAGCAACTTTACCTGGGGTTATCGCACTGGTCAGTTAATGTTTCTTTGCTCAGCTTTTGCACTCAAAATATTTCCTTACTTGGCCCTCTCTCAGCCCGCCATAGCTGTTAATGAGGGCTTTAAACCCATGAGCTCTGTGGCCATAAATGACCATGGTTTCTTCTGTCCACTTGGAAATCTCCCGCAGATCATCGAGAAGCGTCGCCGTGACCGTATCAACAGCAGCCTCTCCGAGCTGCGGCGCCTGGTGCCCACCGCCTTCGAGAAGCAGGTGTGTGTGTCCGTGATTTCCATCCGTCCTCCCGTGCGAGGTGCGTTCCAGCAGTGTAAGGGTAGAGCCCTCAGAATGAGAAAGTCTGGAGCAATGCTGTGTCTTTCTTCATTGCTTCAGGGAGTAAGTAGGTGGTGAAACTGGGTGGTAAAACAATATTAAAAAATATTCAGGAGCCCTAGGGAGGATAAACTTAATCCAGAAAGCGTTTTGCAGATATGAAGATGCACAGAAATGGGGATTTTCAATTTGCGGTGGGGGATCTTGGGAAGGGACTCGTTTTCCACTCAGTTGATGTAAAAACCAGAGCCAGTGCCCACATCTGGGCATCTGAGTGCTCCTGGGCTTCGGGAAGGTTTCTGGGAGGAGGTCACTGGGTGAAACCCAGCTCCTGAATGCCACAAAACCCTAGATCATAAAATGATGAATTGTTCTATTTTCCTGCTCCCAACACACAGGGGTCTTCCAAGCTGGAGAAGGCAGAAATTCTACAAATGACAGTAGATCACTTAAAAATGCTTCACGCCACTGGAGGAACAGGTAAGAACTGCTCTTATAAGCATACGGGTGAGGCAAAGGTGAAAACCTGAAAGGAAAATTCCCTGTCAGCCTCAGCAGCAAGCAATATCTGACACCAGCCAGCACCAAACCGAATGCTGCCCTGCCTGCTTCCCAAGGGAAATATTTGTCGAGGGGGGGGCAGATGGACGTTTCCTGCCCTGCTGTTTTTCTTATGTCTAACATATGGGTCAACATCCCATGCATACATTTGAAAGCCTGGGGTGTGTGGGACAGCAGGGACGGCACCGCTGTCACTGTCACACACCCGGCTAAAAGCTGTCTGGCCGCAAACGCGCTTAGTTCTGCTCAGAAATGGTGCCTTCTTCCAGAAAAATGATATTAAACTCTTTGCCTCCTCCCTGGGATGTGTTTCCTGCAGAGGCTGAATTCTCCATGGGGACTCTGCAAATAAACAAGGCTTTTTTTTTCCTTTCTGTTCTTTTTTTTTTTTTTTTTTTGTCTCTTGGTTGTTATAAGAAGAGAGAGGGAGCCCTGTGCGAAATTCAACAAAGGTCTTATTTGTACTGAGACCTCAGTACAGACCCTCTGTCCTGTTCCAGTTAACAGGATGGAGATCACAGCTCCAGTAAAGAAGCCTCTGGCTTGCTTACCACCTATTTTTGGCTTGCTGGGGACATTGCTGGCATCCAGGTTTTGGTTCAGAGCTGTAACTTGGTCTGGAACATTTGTTTAGATATTCAGTTTGACTGCACTGCAACAAAGGGCTGTATTGTCAGGAGAGACCCCGTCAAGCAAAGTGGTCCAGCGCTTCGCTGTGCTGTGACATTCTTTGCTTTATTGCTTATCGTCTCATGAAGCTGCAAGTAAGGAGCAGCAGCCTAAAAATCAGCCGTTGGTTGCATTTTACCTTGTTGATTTTTGTGGCTTTGAGCTTTCTCAGCCCAGCGGCATCAGTTCTGCCACTGTCCTGTGTCCTTCAGCCAGGCATCTGTTTAAATGCAGTACAAAGGTGGGGACCCAGGCAGAGGAAAATGATGCTAAGCTGTGCAGCGAGGAGACACACACAGCGTCCCCCTGTTCAGCAAGACCGGGGATGGTCCCTTTGCACAGAGGGACCCGGTGCCCACCCAGCCCACAGTCATGTCTCCAGCAGCGATAACTGATAGAGTCCCATAGGAAAAAAATTCTTCCTTCCTGAGCACAGTTAATGAAACCTCTTACTCATCTCACATGCTGGAGTAAGAGGCTTCATGACCCTGGCAGCTTTATCCCGATGAGATAACCGCAGATGCTATTCTCATGCACGCAAACGTCCAGTCTCTTCGGACACCCACTTGGCTATCTGCTTCAGGAATATCACACGGCAGCAAAGTGCCTCAAGTGAAATACACAGTGCAGTAGAGAGGGTAGTGAAATCAAAGAACATTCCTGAGCTCTGCATGGACTTAGCGTCACCCGTGTCCTCTCCCTACAGGCTTCTTAGATGCTCGAGCTCTGGCCGTGGATTACAGGAGTATCGGCTTCCGCGAATGTCTCACCGAAGTCGTCAGGTACTTGGGCATCCTCGAGGGCCAAAACGCCACTGACCCCATCCGGCTGCGACTCCTCTCCCACCTGAATAATTATGTGGCTGAAATGGAGCCTTCGCCAGTGGCCACTCCCCTCCTGCCCATCCAGACGTGGCCGTGGTCCTTCCTCCACAGCACTGCTGGCCCCGTGCAGATCCCCAGGAGGGAGGCAGCTCCCGCTCCGGTTGTTTTGACTGCATCTTCCCTGGCTTACCCAAGCCCCGCTGTGAGGCCGGCCCCACTGCGCCGTGTCCCCAGCGACATGCTGCCGTCCCGCCGAAGCTTCCTGGCCAGCAGGATGGCCTCTTCCAGCCGCCGTGGTCCTTCCTCCACAGCACTGCTGGCCCCGTGCAGATCCCCAGGAGGGAGGCAGCTCCCGCTCCGGTTGTTTTGACTGCATCTTCCCTGGCTTACCCAAGCCCCGCTGTGAGGCCGGCCCCACTGCGCCGTGTCCCCAGCGACATGCTGCCGTCCCGCCGAAGCTTCCTGGCCAGCAGGATGGCCTCTTCCAGCCGCGAGGCCAGAGGCGCGGGCTCGTCCGCAGCCGTAGCAGCCGTGCCCAGGATGCCGCAGGATGCCGTCGCCAGCGGCCGTGTTGAGAGAGGGCTCGTCCAAGAGCAGCCAGATCGCGACGTTCCTCTTCTCTCCGGCCAGTGTCCCCGTTCCACCGGCTTACACAGCACCCCCTGCCTTGGGCGCTGCTGTGCAGGGACCTGGGATCAGGGTTGGGACATCCAGGATCTGCCGTTCCTGGGCGACTGAAATCGGGGCTTTCTGACCTGACCCGACCCTCCCCTTCGGAGACAGCAATTCTTCAGCACTCATTGCCCACTGGCCTAAGAACAAACCCGGCTGAAAAGGCGTCTTTCCTGCTTTGCAGAAGCCAAGGATCCATAAAGAAAATTCTCTTTACTCTTCCCTCCCTCCTCACACCGCCTTCCTTGCCTCCCCGTCACACGTCCTCTCCCTCGTGATGCCTGCAAACGTAAATCACATCCAATTCGATTCACTTGTCTGCACGTGGCTGTACTCCAGACCCTTCCAGCTACGAGGGAGGGGGCACACGCAGATCCCAACCCCGTCCCCCCTCCAGCAAACTCCTCCGCGGAGCCCAGCATTGCTTTCCTTTGGAAAACAGCCAGCCTTGAAATACTGTCTTCTTTCCTTGGGGACTCAGAGCTGCCAGACAGAGACTTCCTCATGCTGATTCCCTGCGATGTGTCCCCCAGCTGCAGCACCGAATTTTGGTGTGGTGGGACAGACACAGCTCACCCCCCTCCCCAGCACTGCTGGCACCCCGCAAGGCAGGACGGAGCCCCCCCAGCTCCCTTAGTGAACTGGCTGCCTGCTAATCCCCGTGCTTTCCTCGCCGCATTACCAGCTTTTCCCACTTATGTGCCCTTAAGGTGGAGTGAGGCAACAGCTTAACAGAGCTCGTTCCCACAGCCGAGCTGCAACACTGGCACGTCCGCAGGGCCCGTGCTGGGTCCCTGCCCCGAGCGTGCCAGCGCAGCCGGCCGGGCTGCCCGGGCAGAGGGAGGCTTCTGCAGCCCTTGCTCCGTACCGAGGTGTGAAGAGGTGAGATGGAGGATTTCAAAGGGGCGTCTGCCATGGAGGGGAAGGCTGTGACAGCCAAAGTGAGAAGAAAAGGCCTTTCCCTCTGCCAGGCTCCCCACTGGAGCCATCTCTCCTCCGTCCCCTG